GATGTATTCATCCAGAGAAATAAAGGCATTATAATCTCGTAATGCGTTTCGTAGTTGAATGTGATCGTGGGCGATGATAGATCTGAATGAATTATGCTCAACCAGTCATAATATCTTTAAACGAACAACCCGACGCATTGTACATTGTAATGTGACAATAAGGATCACTTCCTATTCTGTCTGAAACTAGTCGACTGATTGTGGCCGGAACAATGGCCTTGCATGACAATAGTTAAAAAGAAAGTACGTGACGGTGACAAAGGTAAGGATCGTTCTCGAATTTGTACTTAATGTTCTGTGACTTTACACGACGCTTCCTCTCGCGGCTCATATTTCATTTTTCAAGTCGAGAAAACTGCATCGCAAATCTTGAAAAAAGATTCTTTTATTCTTATCTTCTTTAACCGCATAATTAATTTCTTTTCTTGTGCAAAATTGATTTTAACGCAACTTTCACGACTTTCAAGTCGTGATTTTTAGAATTGTTTAATATCCCAACATAGATTTCATTCAATTTGAATTAAACAAAAATATCAGAATTAATTAAGGTAATGCTTAATTGAAACATACATAAAAATTGTTTTCTAGGATTATTACTGATGATTGATGGAGTAAACGCATAAACATGAATAATTTTATTGTGATGTGGTCATCCGATTAACTCTAATCGATTCTGATACGCCGCTTTCATACATCATTAGCAAATCATGTATATTTATATCAGTAAACTACTGCTTTCACTATAAGACAAGTTCCTGAAGAAGCTAGACAAATATTTTGCTTTCAAGAAAAACACGTTAGTACATACATGTCGTACGTAAGATATTTTACTTTCACCCACATATATTGTCATTTTACGTTCGATCGGTTGCCTATGAAGGGTAAATACGGCCGGCGAGGTCGAATGTAATCGTTAACGGTATTAATGCCATTTGCACATATGTCCGATATAAAGAGCACATCCTCTCGTACAATTTTATTCCGCGCTGAATCGTCGGATCATTAAGTTAGGCGTAAACGCGAACAAGGAAGTAGACTACGAGATCTGCCCGCAAAATCCTGTTTTACAATACGGTATTCAGAGTAAAAAAAAAAATGATATATTGTAAGTCATTTGAAGAATATTTGAAGTCCCAAATAAAGAATAATTCGGTGCTTTATTAAAAATGATATATCATGTGCAATCCATTAGAATTCAATATCTCAATAGCTAATCAAAATAAAAAAAAAATTTTTATAATGATTAAAAGAAATTATTTGTGATATTTGTCCTATTTTTTATCGTTAAAAATCAGTTTTTAGATCTTAAAGTTATATGAAATTTTTCAAATAATATGTGTGTTTTTTTGCGTGCAGTTGTATAATTTTTGGCCTGTAAATCTAAAAAGCGGAAATATGTGAATAAAAAAAAAAAAAATGCAGCTTGTGAGTGTACGAAGATTAACATTATTCATGATCACGCTGTAGTTTCGAATTTTTACCGGATCGCGCGATTGCGTTTCCGTGACTGACCGAGATCATTCTACAAGGGAGACGGCTCTCCATAGATCATTCTCGATCTCGATGCGATGGCGTGCGAGAAGGCCGGACACCTCGCGCATTCCTCGCGGACGTATTACGAGCTGTTGCAAGCGATAATATCAAGCCAAAGTACATCGCGAAGGTGTGAACGCATCCCTTCGAAACGGAAGGCACCTCGTTAATCCACTTGCTGTCTTGCGAGATTTCTCATTGAATTTTTATTCCTTTTTTAATTATCAAAGTACACAATAAAAAAAATTCGGTAAATTTACATAAATAAAATGTAACATTTACACGATATATAACGAAAATGTATTACAATTTACATAATTAAAAAAATCTTTTACACTATTTATTTATTTAAAATTATCTTTTATCATCAATTTTTATAAATCTCGATAAATCCGACAGATACGCAAATTAATTCTTTCTATTTATATTCCTTTTTATATATATCTCTCTCTCTCTTCAGGAGTAGAAAATGTCTCGTTATGATAATTGACACTTCGTGTGAAGATGTCATTTCTCACCGATTGCACGTGTACCACTGCGACTTTTTCAAAACGCAGGCAATTGCACTTCGCGCAATCATCCTTTTCATCGTATCATCGTCTTTTCACCCTTTTCATCCTCACCAATGAACCGAGCGAATCTTTCTGGGGATTAAGAACATCTCCAAGTTCTAGTATATGAGCGATCGGACTTTCATTTCCATTCACATCGTCGTTTATTTTGCCGTGAGCGATTAATCCATTTCTCCTTTTAACGCTCGCGCGTGAACGTACGTTACCTCCTCGCGTCTGATTTATTTTCGCTCACGCTCGGCAGCGTTTTTCCTTTCACCTCCCTTTGATGCGCGACCACTCTCGACCGCTCGGTTCGATTCCGCCTCCGGGGGAACATCCTTTATCTCTCACGTGTATACCCGGTCGCTTCTTCCTCCTGGTGAACGGCGTTTAAGTGTATCACACCGATTTCACGCGCTTGAGCTGTGCAGCGGTCAACAGCGCCGACTTGCGATGGTCAAAAAACTATCTTGGTATATTTATCGAACACAAGGAAATATGATCGCGACGTTTTTCATGAAATGTTACTTTAAGCCAACATTTTGTGAAAAACGTCAGCAGTGAAACATACAGATTTAGCTTCAAAGACGTAACTTGGTAAAAAAAATCTTACCAAAATTTAAAAAAACGCGTTAGGTAAAATGTAGTTTTTGATACTTTGCATAAATTTTGCGAGAAAAATTTTTTATCGAGCTGCAAAGTGAATGTATATAATTTTGAGAACAACGATCTAAAGCACGTAAAAGCACAAACTTTCAAAGTTCAAGCTTTTAAATGCTTGTTTAATTTTTTATTTACAATAATTTTTTGCCGAGTTTCGATGATTTGAAAATTACTCGATTTTCAGCATTTGAAAAGTGTTTTCTATTTTTTTGCGGAGTAGTGTACGTATATTAATTTTTCGACGTTTATGGTCATTAAATACTATAATTTATTTCATGGAGATTTAACGACTGATTGTACTTGGTTAATGCAAACTTTCAGTGATCGTGCTTTCTTTGTGGGTGACCGATGTTATCTTTTTATCATAGCTTCTTCGTCGCGGAAGATTGACTACATTGCACCGTTCGATCAAATATCGAATACGTGAGATCCCGTTTCAACGCACAGACTTTCGCTCAACAAAAACGAAAAACTAATGTTTATTCTTCCAATTGTCGCGAGCGAATTTCTAGTAGAAAGTAATGCGAGTAGCTATTATAATAATTGTAAGCCACGTTCGCATAGAGTACGCTGCTAATTATTCTGTCCCGAAGAGAGATAAATTTCTGTGAAATGCTGTCATGTATGTAGGCCGTAAGTAACATTTTTAGTTTACTAGCACAAGGAAAGTAAAGATCGTATCGCGTAACTTTGAAAGTGTACTCGCAAATATCTTATGTCACCATAAATTATTTTCAACATTCATAAAAAGAATTTGCGGATAAAAAAAATATTTTTGCTTTCGGAGAATTTTTTGAATGTTTATTTTGTCGATTTATCTTTACGAACACTTGTTTTTGACGTTTATAAATAATTTCTTTTATTCTAATAAAAAAAATAAAAATTATAGATTGAAAATTATGAGTATAAAGTAGACTGAATCTCGTATGAGGATAAGGAAGTGAGTGTAATTGTGTAATATCTTACAGCAGAATATTTTGTAATCGTGTAGTAGAATAATGCGCTCATGTATATACAATAATTAATTCGGCAATTTGTAAAAGTCGAATTTGTAAGAGCCAGAAAGCGCAACCGAATAGCATAGATAATCGCCAGTCGTTTGCACTCTCTCGATCGAGAGGATGATTCGCGTTCGCCTCGCGACAACGTGTCTGCGTTTAAATAATAAAGCGGCGCCGGATGTAATAAATGCTACGGTACGGCAGAGATACGCGGATTACCACGTGTAATGCGAGCGACGTGCACGAATAATTAGCTTGCGATCGCGAGTAAACGAAGCCCATGCTACCGTTACAAATCCCGCGAAATGAATGTGCAATGGTAACTGCTGGTGCGATAGAGATCTCTCTTTCTCGTTGCGTTCACATGCGCGCACACATACACGTAAGGTGTTTCCGAGAAAAGACAACGATTACTGGATACTTTTTCCTGACGAATTCGACATTAATGATGATTTTTCGAGAAGAAAAATTTCAACAAAGAATATTTTATTTTTTTTTACTCTTGAAGAAAAATATTTTTTGTATAATTTGTAACCTTTTTAATGTTGTAATACACAAGTAGTAATAACGGGAAATTAACGGTAAACAAGTCAATAATAAATATTGTATTTTTCGCGTACTATCTCAAAAAATTCAAAGTCTAAAGTGTAAAACTGTAAGAAGTGCGTAAAGAGAGATATTAAACGATAAACACATTTATGTGCGCGAAATGCGCCAACTGTAATTCTCCTCGAGTAATTCTCCGCGTTCACTGTCTCACACCTTGACCTTCTTCAACCGGGAAGTCAATAGCACCCTCGGGGAATATACACGCGCATGTAAAAGCGCATGTATAAATGTGTCTATTACGACGAACCTCAAGACGTCCGACACGAGCATAATCCTGATGTAGTCCATTTACACGAGAAATTAGCGCGCTTATTATCGTCCCTTTGTGTTTAATTAAACAGATAATTAGTTTCGTCCAATTATTAAAATTGCTAATTATTCCTCAGATTCGAACTGCTTTTCGAATCTTTCGAAAGAGAATAAAATAAACTTCTTTCTCGATGTTGCTTTTTATAATTATTCACTTATTATTCTATACCTTGTTTACACTAAACAATAAATTATATTATTTCTCATTTTAATTTTTATTGTTTTTCTATTTTTTCTATGGAAAAGAAGAGAGAGATCTTTCATGCTCGACACTGTTTGTCCTAATTTTATCTATATTTTCCACGTATTTAATTATAGTCAAACATCTTACCGGATGATAGCTGGTTTGCCGAAAGTACATCATCCTCTCCTGGTTGAAGACGCACTTCCATTTTTTTCAGGCGCGAATGCAAATCTCTCGTGTGCAGAAAAAGGAAGAGTGTACTGGAGATCGCTACCAGAGCGACCAGCTCGATTGTTCTGTAAACAAAAAAAGTACATTACTATTAATAGCATTATAACTATTTATTCATATTATATTGATTAACAACATATTTAATTTGTTTAGCAATTGTTTATTATCATTTGTACGGTAACTGTCCGCTCGGTCTGTGAACAAAGAAAGAAAGGACGTATAACGCAGATCGCAGCGGTGCGATTGCGGCACACGAAGCCCTTTTGCAAGTTAAACAGCACGAGTCGATAGGCATCTGGGTTGACAGTCAAGGAATCAGGGCACGGCGAAGCCATCCATCCCGTAATTGGTCGTCCTGTCTGAGAGATGATGTTTCTCGTATGACCTGGTTCTCTCGAAGAAGCAAATACTCGTCAACCGTGAAGCTTGACGGTCTCTTCAATTTCGTTGGCCGACGCAACAGGTGCGTCGCAGCGTACAATCTGCATGTATTTGCGCAACGCGAATCAATTGACTCGGAAAATTGGCGAATACTTCTCTTAGACTGTCAATTGCTCAAGTTTATCTTTTTACTTTTGTTTTGTTTGTTTTATTATTAATTAAAGCAACGTTCTTTTCCGCTTTAAGAGATTTCTTGAAGATTAGATTCCTTAAAAGATAAAAGTGCAAAAAGTTAAAATCGTTAAAATATCGTAAAAAATAAATATTTTCCGCGATAGGAAATGTTTTATTTATTTATCAAAAATAGCAGTTTGCTACTTGCAATTTTTTTTACAAGAATAATAATTATTGTTTTTTAAGAAAGACACAAACTGTGCTAAAGAATACTAATTTGTAGAAAACGGAATCTCTTAAACTCTCCGGTAAAACAAACGTTATTCTAATTGACTGTAAAATGCGAGGGAAAGTACTACAACTCATTATTAGCTTACGGTATTCTTTAGTTATTGTTGTCCCGAGTCTTTCAGTTCATTATAGCGCAGTAACAATACATGCAAACAATAAGAACGGCATCACGCGCCTACGCGCATTCATAAATACGTCATAAATAATGCAACAAATATTGCGTATTAGCGTGGCGCACGTGAAACTGTTGTAAATCGATTCTCTCCACGGCTAAGTGTTGCGCGATGATCCGCGACGTTATATGTTATAAATTGCGCAGCTTCGTTAGTTCAGAGCGAGCAAAAGAGGGCAAAAATAATTGATTTTCCTCGCATTGTTCAACAGCGATCGATCCAGTGAGGATATCGCAGAGCTGTTATTAAAAGACCCGTATTGAAGCGAAATCCGTGCTAATTGTTTCGACATTGTTCCCAATTATAATCCGCGAGCGCATCGCGACGTAATCTCCGGTATACACTGAGGGTAATGATTCGTCTAATCTCGCGTGACCGCGTTAAGCGAGCTCCATGCAATCGCCCCGTATACGCGCGGCGCCTTCGGTTTCTTCAGCCGATTTCGCGATTCCGCTGCGTACGCGGCGGATGCAACTGCACGTGCAAACTAATCGGCAGTGCTCATTTCGGATATACCTAATTGCACGAGAGAGATAACGGATTGCTAACCGTTTTTATTACTATAGTGACACACATATAAGATATACCGGCGTTGTGGTTTTCGCGATGCCTCTGCGAATGCGGAACAATTGTTAAATTGATTATTCCTTTCAGTAAATTATTCTGTCAAAGATTTGAAATTATATTGTTTATAATTTATGTTTCTTTATGAATTACTGTCCCTTTAAAACGTCCAAGTAGATAAGTATAATTACAAGAGAGATAAACTTTCGTTATTAGTGCTTTATAAAAATTTCGCAAGTCTTATGCGAAGTGATTTAATCAAGTTGTATGTTTGTATTTTTTTGAGGCTACCTCTATTTAGCATTAAATATTCTATTCTCGTATTTCCCACCGTGATTACTTTCGAGAAATAGCTGCAGCTTGAAAGATGACTGCATTGTCATTGAACGGTCACTTATTGTTAGTTTTATCATCGTGGGAACCGGTTAGTCCGCTAGAAAATATAAATATTCGTTTAAAGGAAGCGGAAAAAATTGCACTATAATAATTAAGTCGTAATTCGCACAAATAATTATTATTGTAAAAAAAATAAATTTTCTCTACGACGGAAAATGTCTTATTTTAATTTATAATTAAAATTATATAGCTAGTTTACTGATCTCGCTTTGTTCACACGTTATACCTGTTTATATCTACTTCAATTTCCTAGATGGAGATTTTATGTGCGGTTTAGCTTTGCGCGCTCTCTCTTTCTCTTTCTCTCTCTCTCTCTCTTTACGTTTTCTTTCGTTCTTGTTCTTACGCGATACTTTTATGCTCCGCAAAACGCTTATTAAAATTAAAAGATGCTATTTGCAAGCGCCGGAGGAGTTTGCCAACCTCTGATTTAAACTCTCAACGAAAACCTATTCCTTGAATGGTCTCATATGTATGCAATTTTCTAAATGATATACGCCTAGTGCGGTTATACATATATGTACGAGTAAATCATATTTAAATTTGCAAACGATTTTCTGCCTGTTACGTATATTTACTATGCATAATATGCAATATATTTACGAGCGAATTAAATCTCAAGGTCTGAACGATATGTTGATTGAATAAAAGAGGAAAGGCTGTGCGGTCTACGAGCGTGTTATTAGTAAATCGCAGCTTTCCAAACGTTAATCGCGCGAGATGTGCCGAGAAATCTTGTGAGAAAGAAGCCGAAATTCTTTCGAAACAAATGCGACGCATCGTCGACTGCATTAAAATACAATACAGCAGATGTTCTCACAATCTGACAAGGTCAGGCCGCGATCTAGAAACAAGCTATTATTTTCCATATTACTTCATAAAATAATATATTTAAAAAAAAAAAGAATTTCTAAATTAAAATATATTATATTTGAAAATATATTATATTTAAAATATATTATATTTAAAAAATTAAGTTTTGATAATGCATTATGAATATTTTATATTGCTTCTTCTTGGAAAAGAATCAAATATTTATATTAAAATATTTATGCAGCTGGTGAAAAAAATATCCATAATAAATATATATGATATTTTTTATGCAGCTCGTCGAAAAGTATCTGCACAATTCTGTTCAATTTTAAGAATTCACTACACTTATACGTTATAATCTCTTTCCGTGAGATCCCTTTAATTTCCTCGAGGATGTACAAGGACGAGGATGTGCAAGGACGGCATTCCGTCGCGGTTCTTCCGGGCTTATCAGGCGAAACATAAGCAGACTGCGCGCGGGAAAAGCGAGAAACGAACGGTATCGTTCTGCCGGACGCAGTGTCAACGACACGCGGAGAGAAGGGAACCGTAAGCTCTTAGGAACGCGTTTATATATACCGTAACGGGGTACACGTAAAGGAACACCGTACATGCGCCTCGTGTACATATAATGGCGAATACGTATCTCGAAATCTGATTGTCCCGCGCGTTGAGCACGTCGCGTGTATTCGCGTCGCGAAATGCCCCATCGAGCAAGAATGCTCGAGCGTTCGGAATTTCGATCCGATCGCGCGAATGCGCGTGGTTCGTTAAAGAGGTCTGCGGGTCAGATCGTCTGACACTCCCGTGGTCTAACTCGTGCCGATACTTATACACTGTTAGCGACGAAATCGCCACTGCGCTTTTCCGGTCTGAGAAACAAAAAATTACTATTTATAAAAAGATGACTACACTATTCTTTATTATGTTAATGTATCATAAATATAATTGCAAAATAACTCCATCCAGTTTTTAAATCTTTACTTTAGTATTTATATGAGAAAAAAGGCACAGGATAGTCTCAGAGTGTTCAGCATCCATCCAGGTGTGTGCAAATTTTCTGATTGTTCTATTAATTTCATCAAATTTCTCAAGTGCACATCCACCGCGGGCTTGATCTTACGCGCCGATACGCCATACAAAATGTTTACGATTATGCGAAAGGGACGGTTTCTTTTAATCTTTCGTAATGGATCGTGGTAACGTTTACGTACGTGCAACAAAGCCCGCGAGGCAGCGCGGAGCATTCTTGCTGAAATCGCAACGTAACTTTTGATCGCGGTCGATGCACCGCCGACAATAGGCCTCATTGCAATACAACGGCCACAATTGACGTTAACGAGCGCGTGCGTATATGATAAATTATTGCAGCCGCACACCGAAGTGTATTTCGATAGAGCTCTTCGTGGAACCTCTTCGCGGAAGAAGATACATTTATCCAATGTAACAGAGCATTTTTAAAGCGTTTGAAAAATTCAACGGTAATTTCTGGTTTTTTTTTCCTCTACTGTACTTAACGACTGAGAAACAGTTAAACGCATAATACTTGGATTCCGTGCGGAGTGAATCGTTCTATTTACATTCGAGCTTTCAATTAAATTTTTCACTCGCAGAGCGCGCATGTTATCTCAATCCTGTTAGACGAGTTCTCCGCCACGTTTGTTGGTAAATACACGCGTACATGCCGGATGTCTTGACCAACTAACGATATCTTTTAGACGCGCTGAATTTAACACTGAAAAAACTCATCCACATATTCCAAGTTAACAGGCAAGAAATTACACATGCATATAAATGTCCGAGGCGCGTTTATGTATATATTCGAGATTTTTTTTACGCGCTTAACTAGATGTGCCCTCCGACATTATGTATACTTCATTGAATCAGATTTTACGCTTGACGTGTAGCCGGCGTACATTTGTTGTTAAATACGCGAGAGTGGTTGTTTCTCCGTAATGGAAATACGCTCGAATGATAGGCAATCTTCTAGACGGCCACTTAACGCGTATTATCGCGGTCACTGCTAATTGCGATGTGCCGGCTCAAGTGTGTTCCCCACGAATGCTTGATATCACGCCGAGGTGAAGTCGGAAGTGGTAGAGGCAGATGGGATTCCGTGCGGCTGTGAGAGAGTGGCCGGTAATGACGGTTCTGTTACGGAAAGGCCATCTAGACTCCCTTACTCCGTTTTATGGCAATGACATCACTATGCAATCCTGTTCCACGCAAGATTCTCGCCGCATTCTACGCGAGAGTTTGGCTTGCCTCATTTACGCAACAGGCATCATAACTTTTATTTATGGATGCTGGAGATTCATTATTGCGAATTGCGCGCGCGATTTTCTCACTTGAGTGGCGAAATTCATCACACGAGACGAGCCACAGAAACGAGACAAATGGACCTACATTCTTGCAAACGTCACGACGGTTCATCACTCACGTATTCAGATTTTGTAATTATCAGCTGTATTAACATGAGATAAATGAGATAGGCGGGATCGTATTTATTGCACACATATGTGATGTTTTTCGCAAGCGTAAACCGCGTAATCTGCATTTTAGATTTAAGTATAAACTCCTTCGATTATAAATTGATCATTATTTTATAAAAGAGTCTTATTTATTATCGATTACCACATATTGGAATGTACGTTTTATAATGCAGATCAACAACTTTGCATGACGCATTCTCTTGAAAGTCAATTGCAGGACGAATCGGTCAACTACTACATATGTATATATTTGCATAAGATATGAGGCGCGGAAAAATCGATTACTCACGATTCTCTCACGACTCACATTATTCTGTCATGATAAAATGGTTCGTCACATGTTTGACTTATTGCGAGAATTTCCATGTCGCGGAGATCTATAATTCGTCACCTCGACCCAGATGGCACAGATGCGACGTCTAAATTTTCGCGACGTCCGACGTTTTCTCGTTAAATTAAACGTTTAAAACCATTAGCATAATTATGAAGCAAAAACAGGAAATCTTACGTAAAGTGATTTACTGTGATCTTCGCATCGTGTCGCGAATGTACGTTCTCGTACGATTGATAAAAAAATATCTCTTTGTGACAAAGTGCCTTCTTCTGTTACCAACTTTCTCGCATTTTCTGTGACAGTATGTCTTTCAGGATTGTACATTACTCACAGTGTAACTGGACAATTATCGATTCGATCAATGTCGGAAATAGATACATTTCAACTTTCAATTCGTAACGTGAAAAAATCAACATGATTCGTAAAGAAAAATCTCTTACTTCTATTTAAAAATTCTGTTAAATAATTTTTGAACATTTTAATTATTTTTATTATTGATACAAAAAAAAATAGAAGAGAAAATTATTTTAAAATTAATATCTTTAACAATCTATTTGTTTTTTGTACAGACAAGAACTATAAAAATTTCAAACTCTGCAGTCTAAGAAATATACATACATAAAACAATAATTTGTTAAAAGTTTAAATAACATTTTTTTATATTTTACGAGAATATATGCAAATTTATACTCCGTACAATATTTAGAAACAATGGCGTCACACGATTAAAAGTTTATGCAAAAATTATATAATATAATAATAAGACATTCTATTATACTACTGTATAATTAAAGCAAATGCATATTTAAATTAGATTGAGTACTAATAATAATGATGCAATTATCATCTTGTAGAATATAAAAGAAAAGAAGAATACGAGACACTAATTATGCATTATATGTAATTTATAAAATTATTTAATTTTTTGGATTATGTCCTTTTTGCTTTATTGTTAAATTTTATATGCAATTTAGCAATTCAGTAATAAGCATGTACATACATAATGACTACTATATTATGTGGTCATAACAAATTGCAGAATTCAATGTCAGAAATTTATGTCGTATATTATGTTAACTTTCTCTTCTACTTTATTTATCAACGATCAACATCTTAATTTTAAGAGAAAATTTTTTTTATAAATATTTAAATATTTAAATGCTTGAAAGGTTAATAGCATAATTATCAGACAAAACAAGAAAACAGTTTTTTATAAAGCATTTTAATGATATTTAAAAAGAATTTTAGCCTGTGACGTTAAATATCCAATCTCTAAATATATTAAAGGCATAACAAAATAATTATGTATTGCCAAAAAATTGATATATTCTTAAAAAAATTAGACAATTAAATGTATGCCAAAATACTCTTTGCTTTTGACAAGATACTCTTTACATATGTTACAATTTTCTTCTGTTATAATGATTAACCTTTACAAGCGAGTTTCATAAAAAGAAGCAAGTGGAATTAGCAAAAAATTTCTCATTCAGCGAAAAGAGGTGGAAGATCAAGATTTGCCAAGATTGAGTCACCAACGTGCTTAACAGTTAAGTACCTTGACTCGTTATATAGGATATGTCGACCTACAAGACGCGATATCCCTTCTTGCACTCTCACGCTGCACGCGCGCAGATAAATATTAATGACATCGTGGAAGATGTTAATTAGCCGCGTAATTAGGCGCCTTTAACGCCGCCATTAATCGCAGTCTCGAGATTAGCCACCTTACCTCTTGGGAACAGGCACTCTCCTCTGCCGCCACATGTTCTCCTTCAGCATCCTGTCGTTCCTTTCGAAATCAGGCTTTTTCTCCAGAGTTTTTCTCGGTGACGATCGGACGACGTCTTACGTGATCTCGTTGATCACGTGCGATCCATCGAAAAGTAAGGCGTCGTCATTGGCCACTCTTCAGCAATGACCACTTGTAAAAGTCCATTCACTGAATCATTCCAAAGTTCATTCACCGAACAGTAATGAAAAAAAAAACATTTATTTATCGCACGCGATTTGTCAGTTGGTCATAAGTGTTAGCGAGCGATTGTTCCATCGATCAATAATCAGATCAACATTTTCGACGACGCGATTAGACAGACATTATCTTGAATTTACCATAACCTTACATTATGATCGATGCAATTTTGCTCGAATCGACGGTAGCGTCAAGAGTTCAGAAGTTTCTTAAAGATCCAGATATCAATGCACGCATGCGGATCTTTCTTTTCGCAAGTCTTTTTAGTCATCGATACCGGTGAAGGCTGTCAAGTCGCGTCGATCGAAGAGAGGTAAATATGACGTCGCTCGCACGATTTGCACACCGACCTGTCTGCCGGTCGACACGCGACTGCCGCGTTTTCCTCGCCGTTTCTTCGGAGTCTCTCCGAGGAAGTCGCGGAGACGACACGCGATACGCTCTATTCCGCGTCCGCGCTCCGTTACTTGGCGGCACATAATGCCCGCGATTCTCTACTCCACATTCACTTGGGCCACCCCACCGGGTCCGACGAGAGAGGAGCAGTTCCTGCTCCGGAACGCTTCCGCACCAGATGGCGGAGAGGGGCAATCCGTTTTCGGGATTAAATTCCGTGACCGTATTTTAAACCTGATCTGCCGTACAGGTGTTCCATTTTTGAAACTCGACCGTAAAACATCATTTTTTTTAGCAAGTTTGCATGTTATATAAATACGCTATACATATGTAAATACATCTCTTTTTGCGTAAGTAATGACTACATAAAATATAACGGAAATAAGAATTTATTTTAGAAATAGCTTCTTAAGTTAATAGCTTTTTATTTACATTTTTTTGTTTGTCTTCTTTGCATTTTACAAGAAAGGAAATTGAAGTAAAAAATATTATTTTGCATAATTTTTCTTAACAATATATGGATTTTTTAATCTATGCTATGTAGGAAATTTGTAAGTAAAATAAGTATGTATGCTAAAATTAACTATGCAAAGTAGATATATCTACACATATGATATTTGTACAAAATTTAAATCTAAATGCAAATGTTCTAACAGATAAACTTGTGCGTTCAGATATGATAATGGTTTATTGATTATATTAAAATGTAATAAAAAGTTACATAAAACTGACAAAGAATTTATCTTAAAAAATAATTTTAGTTTAAACTTTAAGTGCAATGTAAGAAATTTACGTTGCTCAGATAACAATTGACTTTCTGCAAATATAAGATCTTTTAGATCGTAGAAAAAATTTTGTTACGTTTAACACTATTTTACTTTGATTGATAATTATTACAAAATATTCTTTCTTAATAATAACGTATTAATTAATGTTTATTAATTACACGTTATATGATAATAACGAAAATAATTTTAAAGCATTAAAATATCTCAAAGCGGAAGAAATTTAAGTGCAGTAGTTTAGATTTTAGAATAATTATAGTTAAATTTCTCATAATAATTTTAAACACGTCAGTAAATTGAAGTTTCTATCAATACATGTATTGCGTATTAAATAAGACACGTACAGCTCAGCAAGATGACTTCGTACTTGCAGCGGATTTTATTAGCCATCATGATTAATTAGAAATTCACATGAAAGTAAGAGACCGTGTTGCATTCCAATAAGGTCGATAATTTAATGTCTGGGAACGACGCTAATATATACATTGAACCGCGGTGATTATCGGTTAGTAAATAAATCCAAGAGAGAGAAGACTATATTCTTTCTTGGCAAAATTATAAACGCAGATTCTCTTCCTGCATGAAACCCGAACCGAGATTTTATGCAACAAAAAGTATCTTGTGCCAATACTTTTTTATATAATTACGTTTTTTTTTTGGCAAAATTGCGTTCTTCTGTTTTAAAACATTTGCAACACTTGAGAAATCAATAAAGAATAAAATTTGGCAAAAAAAAAACTTGGAAACAATAGCACACTGTACTCTGTTATACTCTGCAACAATGCAAGGCCGGCATTCGCATGTACGATATTATTACTTAGATCGGATTGTACGCACGTTGCGTACAATTCAATTAGGTATTATAATCCAGCACTACATGAATAATTATTCGACCAAAGATAGTTTACCAGGAATTGCTGTACACATGATTTTCAGATTTCCGAGATAATGAGAGAGCGTGAATGACATAATTAACTCATCACATCCTTATGTTTGATTTATTGCACTTTATAAATATAACGTTTCTTATCTTGGAAACTTTCTATTCTTTCTCATCCGCGTTATGTGTTGCAGAAAAATTATTAGAAAAGTAAATTAAGATTTTATTTAAAATTGATCTAAAAATATATTTGGAGGTGAGATCGCGAAGGTTTGTGTTACGTATTTAATTGTTTCTCTGTTCTAGAAGCTGTCGCATATCCTGTCACGCCACGACCGAGATTAAGACTGCTAATTATTTAACACAATTGTACCGGAATAATTATTACTCGGGTCGAGAGTCGACTCTCTTCCCCTCTCCCCTCTTCTCAGCCTTTACATTAATTTCAATAGAAAATTACGTGGAACCTTTATACATTTTAGTTAATCTATTCAGCCCGAAGTGGGGTTTAACATAAATTTACATACGGTTAATTAGCGCTGGATGCAATTTGTGTGGCAAACACACCGACACCTTTACGCCATCCGTAGAATATAATCTTTAATTCCAAGAATAACTTTGGAATAATTCTGAATTATCTTTTAGACAGTCGGTGCCTGACACCGGTATTGAGAAATTCTCTCTTTTAATGTTCGCATTTATAAACATCAATGTTGCGCGATTGGATGTCCAGGTAGAATAATTTATAACATACGTGACAAATCGTGATAAATGAATAGAGAGTTTATCGCGAGTAATATCGACGTCTGCCACAAAATCTAGTGAAATTTCATAAATTAATAAAATTGTTTAGAGGAGTGTAGCGTGGTAAAATGAAATTCTACAAATGCCATTCACGCATCATTGCACTTTTGATCTACTTCAGAATTTTCAACAATAAAATTTATTATTTTTTTATAATTACTAATTATTTCTATCTTAAAGAAAAAAGCTTCGCAAAGCAGTGGTACATCCGACGAACAAGGAAGAAGTAAGATCTGACCGGAGCGCGTTTGCGTATGCGAGATACCGTCTCAACCTTCGACACTGTCATGACTGCACGCGTGTGCGGCAAGCTTAATTAACTTTAAGAACGTACGTGAGCCGTATCGGGTGGGTTTTTTTTTGTGAATGGAATCGTGAGAGAAGTACGAACCCGCCACTGCGCTCTTGTACCCGCGTAATAATCATGATCCGACGAATCCAGCGATTCTCATAGCGGAAGATACGAACTGGTTTCCGGAAGTGCGACGACCTCCCGGCGGTTGTAGCTGAGCGAGAAGCAAAAGGGCCCTCCTCCGTCCCTCGTCACGAACATTAGGAATTAGCGGCACGAAGCTCGCGGCATTCGGTTAAGGGGGATAAAATTTATCTTCGCTCAGATGCGCGGAGAACGCGTTGTGGGAAACCGCGCGAGATCGAGTTGTGTGTCGCACGATCGAAACGAGTTCTCGATATGCATCGCTGGACAATTTAGTGGTGTATCTGGCTTATTCAGTGGCATAAAAGGATTTTTTATAAATTTTTATAAATTTTAACAGTCATCTTATAAAAAGCGTTATTATCAGATCAAAATTTTCTCACTGTAAAGCATCAGTTGTCAGCTTGAAAATATTTTCGATATTTTAACAAGAGCAACTGTGATTACTCGTTAGATGATAGCAGAAGAATGTCTCTGTATCGTTATTATTAATTTTTTAACACTTATGTGATCTACATTTTGATTTTTATTTTCAATAAAAATGTAGAAAAGCTGTCAATTTCTATTATAAAATATTTTAATTGTCTGCACACATTAAAGAAAGATAAAAAACCTGAATGAAATAAATATTCGTTCATTGACAAAAATTTAGAAATATAATTTTGTTTCAGAGATATATAACTTTAAATATATTTAAATTATTTTTTTAACTGCATTTGGCTTATAAATTTTATGTACAAACTATAACAATTTTTGAAGTTTCGAACCTGAAATTAATTCGAACAGTTTGAACTGTGCGAACATATTTTTAAGCCAAAAGGTTTCAAAGTATTTGACATTTGATCTCAAGATCTGAACTGTCCGAACGGCGGACTATTTGAAATTTCCGAGCACTACTCGTGATTTTTTAAATAATACGCTACCTGAGGTTGTTAAGTGGAGTATAATTGATTGTCCGTCACTATTAAAAGATAGTTAACAGGACGCTTACTTCAGGTATCTACACATAGTCAATTTATCTATCTCTGTAAAATGATATTCCAGCACGCGAGGAAGCAAGATGGCTCCAAGGAACTCGCCGCGGGAGCATCCTTGTTGCTGTGCAAATCTTTATTCTCATCGCGAAGATGTCTCTACGAATACTTTCTGTGGGAAATAAATCTCTCATGTGATGTGTGGTATTTTGCACACGAGAGCTTCGTATATATCGTGCAAGGAACGTCATATCATACGTATGTATAAGTATAGAGAAATACACGCGAGTCAAATAAATGTACAAGGTATCCTGGACCAATCGTATCATTTGTCAATAGCAGATTCCTGCAGTCGGCTTGTATATAAATTTTGTTTAAAGAATGTTTAAAACTTAATATCAAATTATTTATATAAGGCTATAAATAATTTAGAAATAATAGTCGCTTATTAAACTTTCACCACGGAAAAGTGGTGTCTAATTCAATTAAAAGCTTTGTGGTTTAAGAAAGAAAGCTAATTGCGCTACAACACTTGGATGCTGAAGCGCTTATTGCATATAATCGAATGTATATTAAGAGTGTACTGCAAAATGTGTATTAAGCAACTGGGAGAATTATTTATTAAATAAATATTTTAATATTACTAATTAAATTTTCTTTAGTTATATTAATTACGTTAATACTAAAATTATAACTGCACACCGGTACGACGTAGTTATTTTATCGCCTGCGACGTATTAAAGTCTTAATTAGATCGACGTGTTCCGGCTTGGATGTAAGATTTATTGGGTCTTTTGTTAGTTGCGGTCTGTCGATCGGTCGTGCTCCGTCGAACCTTCGATCGGCTCCCAGATACGACATGTATCCGGCACATTATCGCGTCCTACCGCTATCAGAAGTGCTCACGGACGCACGATATAATTATCATCATCATTATTCACGTTATTCGCAACAATTTTATTTTAGTGCGTTTGTAGTATGCGCTGTGAACGTAGTCAGTGAATTCCTCTCCTTCGATATAAAATCAAAACAATAATTCGCGTAGAACATTGGATAAAAAAATCGTACGTCATATCGAATTTATTTCATAACTTGATTCTTTAATAATTCGAAATTTAATTGCTTGCTCGAACACTTCAAAAATAGATGGAATTTTTTTATTGTCAATTATGATATAAAAGTGCCCTAAGTCGATGATTTTCGAGCAAAAAGAGACTCCCGGATGTTAATGATTTTGCAAAAAACTCATTTAACTAACAGATGTTTTCGTGAGAAAAAAGAATTAAACGTAAACTAGTAGAACCAAAAGAAAACTGGTTTCTCGCTGAAGCGGGCGTTGATTAACGCGTGACGACGTGATTTAATTCGAGGAAGGCTACGAGAGGCTCGTGCCATTTATTTTTTTCGATTCTTGACAGACCGAACACGTCATCGTGACGGCAAGTGTCGGCGGTTTTTCAAGAAGTCGATTATCGCTTAGGTAATCCGAATCAAAGATCATTTTTTTTTTACATGAGGTGTTCTTGCCGAGAACACAACACAGTCCGTCTTTTACATACGCATACGAAGAGATCTAGGAATCTGTACACGTACCGAGATTCGACGGGCTATAAAGCCTTGCAAGACCTGTTTTCGTGATTGCCTCGTTCTCAGGAATCTCGCCGTGCGTTGTCCGCCAGGAATAGAAACACACGGGGCAGTCTTTGTCTGTCAGCGTTCGAAGGCAGGAGGTGTCAGAATATCGTCGGCAATTTTTCCGTGGCTTTTGCGGTTTGGCCGATTGATCGGTAAGTAGAACACGTTCTTACGCGAATGTTCCGTGAAGTAGCGCGATTTGCATTAACCGAAATTTTTACGATGCATTAATCACAAGAGAAAACAAACGGAAGCTGACGCACGAAAGATTTGGAGCGAAAAAAATTGTCCGCGATTTGTGAAGAGTCCACTCTGAACGTAATTTTATGTAACACAAAGTTTTTTGACATAATTTTATGTAATTTATATTTATAATTAAATTTGATATTTGTGTTTCTATTTAACGTGAATCCTTAAATATAATTTGATGGTTCAAATGGATCTTTGATGCCACTTTATATCTAATGAATGGATCTTAAAAGGTGTCGACATACATGTTTACTCTTCCTTCATTCCTTCATGTACATTCATGCACGTTGAATCGCGAATTTGTTAATTTTTGTAGCTATTAATGTCACAATGATGATGAGAATTGTTCACTAATGTCGCCAGAATGCATGCGCTCGCGGAAATTATGGTGGGGTATCATGAATTATGTAATTTGTGCACGGCTTCGAGCGGCGTAACCGGTTTCTATAATATCCGACATAAATTTCGGAGAAACTCTAAGCTGTCGTTTATCAGGATTCTTGTAATTATGCCGATACGAGAGAGTCAGTTATTATGCAGAGTGTCGCAAAATAGTCGTGAAGCGTGGGATTCTTTGACGCGTCTCGGTTACAGAATTTTCTTGTGCTATCAGCGTGAAATCGTAAAGTCAATGTCCTTACATTCTCACATTTTATTAATTGAATCGAACAAAAACTTAAAGTAAATATATTTTGCACGTACTATTTTGATAATTATCAAAAAAGTTTTTGTTAATTTTAAAAATAGTGAAAGAAAGTCCGTTAAAAAGCCGAAAAATACAGCTGAAGTTGAATTCAAAACAAAAATTCAAAATTGAAAGGCATTACTGACGTCTAATCCACTTAACATTACAAGCGCAATCTAATATCAATGATTAACAAATAGAGACACAAAAATCTCTATTTTTTGAAGAAAAAAAATTACCGTTTGTTTTCAGAGAATCGCGATGCTGTTCTTCATCACGTACTTGTTGCCTGTAGTGGCAAGCATACCTACAGAGTTTCAAAAAATCGACAAATCAGGATACAAAACAGACATTGACAATGGCACCTTGAGAAACATTCAGTTTCTCGGAGATCCCAGTTTGAAATTAAACCTCTCGAACTTGACGGATCTCCGCGCGGTGGAGAGAAACGCCTTCAACAATATTCTCGATGTGGAATCGCTTCTGCTGGCTAACAATTCACTGACCTCACTGCCAGATTTCGTTTTCTCCAATCTGACAAAGTTGAGGAACCTGTCGCTGGCGAACAATGAAATATCCAGCGTGCGAAATCTGTTCGTCGGCTTGGAAAATCTGCAATTGGTAGACATCTCGTGCAATCCTATCAGACATCTCGCCAGAGGTGATCTGTTCGGTCTCACCAGATCCGTCAGGATTCTTGTCGACGGAAACATCTTCTGGAGCATCAGCACGGACACGTTCACCAATTCCTTTCTCAAGGACACCGAGGTGCTGAAACAACTAGCAGCGGCACAGGATCAGGAGTTTTCCGTACAGAAGAACATCGACGACGTCGAGCTCGATGAGCAAGAGAACACCGTGAGCATCAGGAATGACACTCGGGTGAAGATTTGCAAGTCCGACGGTGTCGTGACGTCACTGGAGATTTTCCAAAAAGACGAGGAGCTCGCTGGAGGCTGCGTTCAGGTGCCGATCGACACCGACGCGAAGCGAGTGAGTCTACGCGAGCAGGGAATTAGGAGCTTCCAGGAAGGCTGGTATCGTCTGCAATCCCTGCCGATTGTCTCGCTGGATCTGTCGAACAACGAGATCGCCGAGATCACGAGGGAGACTCTCAACGATCTACCGGCGTATCTGACGTACGTGAACTTTTTGGGAAATAAAATTCGCAGAATCTGGAGCCAGGTGATCGAGAACGATCATCTGAGAAGACTCAACTTCAAGGACAATCTCATCGAGGAGATCGAGGAAGGCGCGCTCGGAAGAACAAAATTGCGCGGATTGTTTCTGGCTGGGAATCAGCTGGAGAATCTGAATTTCGTCGCCAGTCTGCCGGACACTCTCACTGAATTCTTCGCGAGCGGAAATCGCGTGAGTTCCATCGCGGACGGCGCGTTCTCCAGACTCTCGCGTCTGCTTTATTTGAACCTCGACGATAATAGAATCGACGCGTTGCCGAGTGACGCCTTTCGAGGCTTGGAGTCCTTGCAGGCGCTGACGTTGACGGGGAACAGCATAACGACGATTGAGCCGGGCGCATTCAGAGGCCTGACGGCGCTGAAGACACTCAACCTTCACCGCAATTCAATACGCGACCTGCGGAGGAGCACTTTCAGCGAGTTGACGGCTCTGAAGGAGCTGAATCTCGCTTATAACAAGATTATTAAGGCTGCGTTCGCCGAGCTTCCGCGATCCGTGGACTCGTTGCATCTCGACTACAACGACATCGACGTTCTCGAGGAAGGCGATTTTGTTCAAGCGCCGAGATTCACTCTGTCTTTGACCGGGAACAAGATTGCCAGCGTAAAACGCGGCGCCTTCGACCTGCCAACTCTGCGAGATTTGTATTTAAACAAGAACGCATTGAGGACCATCGAGGGTGACAGTTACGAAGGCCTTGGCCGACTGAGACGTCTTTGGCTTTCAGAGAATGGAATATCTGAGATTCACAAAGGCGCCTGCAAAAATCTAGGGAGTCTCTATATTCTTGACATATCTAAGAATCCGTTTCGAAAGTTGGAAAATGGGGCTCTTCACGGTCTCAATACTGGCTTTGGCACCAGCTTATACATTTATGAGAATAATTTGAAGGAGATGCAAGGCGGCATCTTCGACGATGTTTAAAACATTCGTCTTTTAACACAAGACTCTTATACTTATTAAATACTTATTAAATTTTCTTTTACACTCGCATTTTTTAAATTATCAGCATGTAGCAATGCCTCTTAATTTGTAAATACATACATTTACAAAAAATTTAATTCTGTTAAAATATATATTATATAATAATTATTATTATAAGTATCACTCACAAAAAATGATTTTGCAATAATAGCTAAAATTTTCTACGTGTAAAAAATTAACTAAAACAGATAAATGTTTAGCAACTGTTGTGATATTGCATATGTAATTACTTAATCAGTTTAGATGACAGAAACAGAATATATATCTGTATTGTTTGTGAACTTTAAAAAGAAAGTTTCTCTAAAGCGCCTATCTATATAAGATCAATCACGTGTTAGATCATGCAATGAATAACATTTAGCAATGGTACCTAAAATTTTTCAGAAGCTATTGCTAGAACATTACTGCTATAAATTCTATATGTGACAAACAATGTTTTCACAGATACGAAAAATAGCGATACATTCTTGTTGCGATATCTAGAAATCTAACTACATCAGCGAAATATTTTTTTGAGTGATAAAATAAAATATATTTTCTTGTCGATTTTGTAAACATGTACTTTTTATTTTCTCTTTAAAACATTAAAAAATATCATAATATTATCGAAGAAATTAAGAATATTTTTCTGCTTTCTACATATGAATATATTGAGAAATGATTGGTAAATTAATTTTGAAGAACATTACTGTCTCCTTCGTGCAATTTGCAAATCATGAGTGAAAGTAAACTACTATCACGTAATATTTTAATACATAATTTTAAAGGTTTCGTGTTTTTTAAAAATTACTTACATACTTTAATATAACAGGAATTTTTTTTAAAAACTTGCTTTTGATTGCTTTCACCTTTGCTCACTTCAATTTCTAATTATTTGATTATAAATGATTTCTGTACTCTCTCTCTCCCACGAGAAAATAAAACCTTCACGAAGCAGAATTGTAGATTCTCAATACAGTTAATTGCATAATCCATACGCCATCATTACAAATAATTATACTACTTCTTTTAATGCGTGCCGATCGAGCACAGTTCCTTCGTGCGATCGCTCGATGGAAACCTTTAACCGTGTTAATATTTACCCGAGAAAGGCAGAGACGAACGGATAAGTAATTTTCGCAAAAGCGATTCGCTTTCACCGAAGGTGGCTGTGCGAATCCATATAAAATCGTCAATAATAATAAAACCCGTTCGTATACACGAGATGAACGTGCAGCTTGCAACCGGCTGGCCTTGACTTTCGCGCGGAGAACCTTTCAACTTCCAACTCCAACGAGATTCCAACTCCTGAGACCCGTTTGAAGGTCGGCGCGCTGTTAGAAATTTTCAGATTTTTTTTTCCCACCTCGATCGACTAACGGTAGACCACGGCCGAGGCGTTGTATAAGCAAATTGAATAATCGAGCGTCATCTTCATGATTGAGAACCGAGGTCTGCAGGATGCTTTCATCCATTTAGATTATGCGCGATATCCCTAAGCAACAACGGTTGATATCGGCGCATAATGCAGTCTGAATATTATTTTTGTCGTGTGAAATAAATTATCTCTCACAATAATTTAGAAAATATAAAATAAATTAATAATAATTCAATTGAAATTAATAATCTAATTTAAACTATTTATTTCAGATTATTTGAAATTAAATTCATTTTATATTACTTTAATCATTACTGCAAGACAGTTTTCCAGTTATTTTATTAAAGCTTCTATTCTATTTTCTATTCTTTTTATCGAAGTAATTGAGAAAATCAAACATTACAGTCCAAAAAACTAAATCAAAGAAAATCATATTAGACGCATTATATGCTTTATACATGATATAATAACGCGTTATGCATTTGTTATAATGCACACGTTGCATTAAAGCGTTAAAGCAGAGAGATTGAGACCGTTCAACGTCAACGAGTTTAACCCCCCTCGATATTACCGTAATCCTATCGAAACCGGATAATCTCGTTTCACGCCGCATCGATCATGACAATTAGTGCGACAAAACAGACCACGTTTCCGCTGCGAATAAGCAGGCGCTAGCCGGTGTACATTTAATTACGTAACACGTACTCTCCGGGTCTAATTAACTCGCGGATAAAACTCGTGCGCGTCGGATGCGCTTGTAAAGCGCAGCGCGCGATCCTTCCTTCCTTAAACAGACGAGTTCTTCTTCGAGATAGCCGGCGGTACGATCTGATGAGCCGATTTGTTTAATTGGATCTCGAGGGGTTCGGGTTAGATGAGCACAGATAGGACTCGCGCGTCTCTCTGTTGCGTCTCGATTCTGCGATTACGATTTGTACAATGAGCTTCCACGAAACGCGCGCGGATAATTGGCACGTGCTTAATGACTCCCGGTGACTTTCTTTCGCAACTTCTCGAAAGCATCCAGGGATGTCCAAATATCGCGGATATAAAAACTGTACCGTCTACGGTTTTCGCATGAAAAAATTACCGGTAACAATTTCACGGCGACGAGCCGGCTGAAGAAACGCCGGTTCTCACATACCGGGTGCTTCCCGTTCCGTAGCGAAGGTCCGGGGCAATTTCGTGGCATTGACACTGAATACTCGGTGTTTGCCACTTCCGGTTTCTCTCACCAACGGTACCTCGCAGGGTTATCGAACGTAACGTCTGCTAAAACCACTCGAAATACCGAGAAATCCCACAGAATTTCGTCGAATCGCGTCGCAATTTTCATTTTATTACACCGTTGCGGTAAATTCAAGCACGAAGACGAGAATCACTCGAGATGAATAGAACTACAGTAAGGTTTTGCGAATTCTAATAATTCTGTCTGAATATCCGTAGAATAATTTGCATAATTTACGATGTGAAAATGAAAGTAAAATTAAAGTTAATGTTCTTCTGCGTTATCACGATAATTTTATTCGCTGCCGACCATCGACAAGTATTTTATTTTTACTAGCGTATATTGCATCATTAAATATTTCTATTAAATCAAAATTCAATGAAATTTGTTCACGTGCAAAATGCAGACGTGTAGATCTAACGATCGTTAGCAGCACGATTCTTTCGAGTGAGAAACGCAGAAGTGGAAACCTCAAGGTAAATGTCGGCCAGTGGATACCGGTTGGAAAAGGGGATGCAGTCGGATCTCTTAAGTAGAGCCTTAAGTAGAGCAAAGGTACCTTGGATTTACGGGAGAAAGGTCTGCATGACCAAGTTCATTGGCCTTCGCTACCGCTGAGACGGACAATAGCACGTAGCCAGCCAGAAAGCACTACGCTCGCTGAATGCATTAACTTTGTGTTGCTCAATTTAAATTTTATTGCAAGTGCAACGCAGAATCCGAGATGAATGAAATGGTGTTGCACATCACTTTTTCTTTCACAAACATCTGTACTTTTTTTTTGTTCTGAATAGTGATGATTCCAAAGGATTTAGATGATGTGTAACTACTATTATTCAAGTATATAAAAACTAATATTGAAATGTACAACTTTAATTTATATCGTTTTATACAAATAATTTATCTTAATAGCATATGATTAATTGCATTAATATAAATATAAAAAATTGTTACTTTATAAAGAAATTATCGTAGAATGATAATTAATTTAGCGATTAATATTCTATATTGCTAGTAAAGAGAAATCGATCGCGTCTCGCAAGTGCGACAGCGTCATCTTATTAATTATATATAGTACATCCAGATTTAATTATATAAAGCGGAGATTATAGTAACGATAAATGATGCAATGCATTGCCATGATATATGCAGATCTCAAAATCAAAAGGCCAAAGACCGAAGTAATAATTTTCAAGACGACAAACTTTTGCCGCTTGATTTTTCAGACTGGCCGTGTTTCGTAACTTTGTGTTTAACCAGTTGACCCGACTAAGATGCAGTGTATCTGCATAAATTTGTATTCTTCTAGTCTTTTTTAAATGTAAAGTCATAAACCGCTCGCGGAATATTTCGCTTATAGAAAGCGGTCACTACAGTTAAAGAAATTATGTATGATTTCCTTGAGGAATTGCTTTAACAACCGCCGACAAAGAACATGCTGCTTAATTACGAAATGGAAAATTTTCAAACCGTTTAATTGCTTTTCATGCTCTTATTTAATCCATCCAGTTAATAACTATAAAAACTTGCATTAAGCAAATTAAGTAATACGGAAATATTAGAATATAAATATATTCTAATATTTCCTATATTATAAAACTTGTGATAATATTTGAGATTTTATTTATCTTTGCTTCATTCTTTTATTAATTGTAAATAATAATTAATTTATAATTTCGCGATTTAGAAATCATATTATAGTAAAGTATAGTAAGAGATTAGGAGGCAAAAAAATTTATATTTAGTTTTAAAAAAATATTTAAAAGAGAACTTTAAGATAATATTTAACAGGACGGAACTAATTTTTAGCAAGCTCTAATGCGTTTCATTTGCATATTTCAGGTCCGCCTAATGACTCGATAATTATCAAAACGACGTGACAATCCGCGCGTGACTGTTTTACACATCAAGTCAATAATTAGACTGCGAAAAATAACAATTAATATTGTTCCAATGTGTTCGCATTAATATTAAACCAAAGTTAAGTATATATTTTTTATAAATTTATTTTCTGTTTAAAGAAATTTCGTTTGGAAGCGTGATGTAAGGATTAAGTTGTGACATACAAGCTACCATAATCATGTTTTGAAATTTAATTGCTGTTTAATTATCTCGCTGTGATAAGAGAATGGTTTCGTAATTCTGTTCGAAGAACCGCGAAAGCGATATGAACGACCATAAAACTCAATTTCCGTCGGAAATATATGCAAATGATGTACATTCACTGGTGCTTATCAGAAAAATGAATCCGCATACCGTTCGCATACATATGTATAAGTTTCTCCGCGGCGGCAAGTATGTATCTTCTTTAATTGGCAACTTGAATCAGTTCGCTGACTCGGTAATCGTTCGGCTGACACGGGAAACATCTCGTGCGTGCAGCCGCGAATTGAACCGAAGCCAAAGACCTAATCGTGAAAATTAATAACCGAAAAGAGAGGATTAGACGTTCGCGATGA